TTGACTCAGATCCAAAAAGTTGGTTTGCCGGAGTGACTCGGACGGTGACAAGAAATGCAACGATACATGCCAGGCGTGTTCTGTCGCACGAATGACCTGCAACAACATCCGGCGCCGACCAACCGGCACTTAATTGAAATTTATGTGCGGCATTTAATGGAAATTTCTGCACACGGCGGTCACACGACGGACGACGCCAAACGACTCGAAAACTTTCCTCCGCCTTATTAGTGAGTGCCGTCTTTCCGTGGAAATTATCACTCGCTTGCCACAAGTCGTTTGTCATCGTGCGGCGTCCGTGGATCGGATCGGATCGGATTGATTTGGCTAAGGAAGGCCGCTTTCGACGATCCGTCGCGTTGTCGGACCAAACTCCTGGCCGGTGGTGGAAACGCCTTGGTTTTTGCCGAAAGTTTTGCCTCATTTTTGAGTGACTTTTTCTCTCTCTCTACGTAATCGCGATGTCCTCATCCCGGACTAATTATGAACTGTTACGAAGTAAGTGAAATGCATGGCTCGTTTTAACTAGAGCTGACTACGCGGTGGACGGCAGGCAGTCGTTCTTCAGCCTCAAAGCAGTTCGAGCCGAGGAAGTATCACAATATGCCGATGCTATGATGGTCGTTTCAGCCCCTGAAGGGTGGAGAATCGTCTCAGTTCCAGCGCACGGCATCCGAGGTTGTGCAATGGATGATGAAGAACGGTCTAAAGATAAATTATTACAAACGAGGTAGCGAAAGTGAAGATTTTTAGATTGGAGGAACCTTCTTTTCCTGGCCATTAAACCGAACCTCTTCCACATTGTCATTTCATTCATGTGTTGAAATGTGTATGAGAGATGGCTTGAGGTAATTTAATCGGATAACCGACGGCCCTCACTTTCACAGAATTACCGCCGTCTTGTACTACTTACGATGACTAGAGAGAATGCCATGCTTTGCTACTTGACAGTACATTCCGTTCGCTCGTTGGTGATCATTCAGAAAACAATAGTAAACATAGTTTATTTACAAGCAACGCAAACAATATAGGCAATCGGACGACTGACCAGTGCTAAGTTTTTGTCCCTCTACTACGGCCTTCTTCATGGTAGGAAGACGATTGAGGTTCAGAAGATTTTCTTTTCGTCCGCGGCGGTTGGTAAGATTAGTCTACTGGCTGCCAACAAGAAAAACTTCACAAACTGAACCAACTTCTTACCTTGAAGAAGGCCGGTCAGACGCAGGTCGTGACATCAGTACTGGTCACTCGCATGACTATGTTATTTGCGTTGTTTATGAATAAACGGTGTTTATTTACTGTTTTCAGTGTGATCACCAAACCGTTAACGGAATACGCAATAAAACGAGCGAAAGGTGTATCGAGTAGTAGAACATGGCATTGTCTGTAGTTATCGCAATCGGTACAAGGAGGAAATAATGAGGGCTGCCTGCTGTCTGATTCGATTGTTCGTTTTTTGTGTTGTGTGTAAATAAATCGTGCCCCATACTGTGTTCGTTCTTCTGTTTACCGCTCGTACACGACTCGTCGTTAGTTATTACCGGCCGGTTCACGTGATTATCTCAGTGCTGTCTACGGAGTTAAATTGCTATTTGTTGAAGATGTCCCCCTCAAGTGACAGTTGAATTGTGGCGTAGGCAAATAGACGATTTGACTTGACAAGCGAATGCTCCCTGTCTACATTTCTTTGCGGAGAAATTTGTTGTTAGGCAAAGCGAGGGCTCGCAAAAGAGAACATGCCTCATTGAAGACGACATTGAGGGCCGCCGGTGTTCCCCGGTTTCAAAGGCACACACTTCAAGGTCGGTCGTTCGGACGGTGGCGCGTCATTCGTCGGACGCGATCGATCAGCCGATTGTGTTTGTCGTTCTGCCCCATTCGTCGAAGCAATAGTTTGGACAAGTCGTTTGGAGGGCGTTCTTTCCGTTATTGATTTTGTCATTATTCTTCCTGGGAATGGTCACGCTAGTTTCTTCTGTCGTTCTGCACATTGGGGTTAAGTGTATGCTGCCATATGCTGTCGTATTCGCAATAGCTGAGCAAACAATATCACTCTTCGATCGGATCATTCTTCACGACCATTAGCTCACTGTCCGAACGAGTCAGACTTTTCGGCTTTGCTACTTGATGCCATAAATCATGTGACAAGGGAGTTGTTCAGTCGTTAAGCATCGGGTTAGAATATGCTCTCAATTGAAGTCGGTGTTCGGTCGGGTAATGGGTGGTTTTGCCGTTGCAGCCTCTCAGAAGTTTTCTGTGATCATCCCTGAGCTCGTATGCCAACCGCCACCATCCCTTCCCGCTCTCTGCAGAAGAACGACTCCCATTCGTAATTTCCACTGCATTCCCGACTTCGGGAAATTTTTCGGCACTTGTACTGTAAGACAGAGGATTCACTTCCTTCGTTGAGCTCTTTGGTGTAGTACAATCGATGCCTGCAAATTAACACCTCACCTATGAAGCACGATGGACATTTTCCTGAGGGTGATCGATGTGAGGGTGGCGGTAGTCGAACAGTTCTCCGTTTCTTGATTTATGGTTCAAGGCTACAAGTGAAGAGCCCAATGTAAAGTCATTTATTCACTGACGCTGCATCCCATCCTCGTTGGGCTTTCCTGACTTGCTGTGTAACGACAATCTGGTCTGGTAGACACGGATGTCTTCACAGGACTACGAAGACAAACGTCGTCTGTTATTAACAAGTTGCACGAAATCGCGCCACGTCCTCCATGGCAAAACTTTTTCATGCCTTTTCAGGCGCATGACAGATCTGTTTTCGAGCCTTTAGAAAGAAACCAGCATTCGCCTTCGCGTCTCAGATGAGATAAAGCCAACTTCCATTAGCCAGTAATGAGCATAGCGGAGCTTGTGACACTTTTCTTCCTCAAAAGTACACATAAGTAACGTTGATGGCGGCACGCATCTCGTCGTTACTGGTCTTAATTTGTTGATCTTGTCGATTTCCGCCGTCACTTACCGTATTCGAGCCGCCGCCTAATCCGAGTATACATCACCGCTACTTGCTATCTACTGTTGCCTTTCACGTTAATCTTGTTTTCGATTCATCAGTGGTCTTCCCACGGGCGTCCGGCAAATGCTCAGGCTCGCAGTGATACGGTGGCATTTGGTGATGTCATTAACCGTTAGACTATCGATCTGCTAATTTTCGCAAGTTCATGCATACATGGTCCAGTGACATGGTGTTCTTCGTGTCACGTGTCCTGCTCAGTGCCGCCTCAGCTTCTTCGTTCCTGCAGTGGTATCGCTGTGTTATTATGAATTCGTTCTTCTTCCTGTTTATGTATTTTATTTCAGACATGCACCATTTCATGTTACATCGTATGATTTAGAGTTTGAAAACAACTTCCAAAGTTTACGGCCAAAATATGACATATATAAGTTGACATAGAAAGCATGCACTGAACGGAGATCATCCGTTTCAAACACAGGGTAGTTTTCCACCTAGAAATATTGTCAATCTTCTTGAAAAGCTCTGTCATTTTTAACTTTCCTTTGGCTTCGCAAAGTTGTGGAAATCAGCTGCCAATGAGTGAGGTAATTTCGTACCTCCAGACTAAAGACAATTTATTTTAGCAAGTTGTGGGGTCACTTATTTGCTCAGTATCATCAGAACGTTCTTCACATCGATTTTCAGTTCTGCATTGAGTCTGACGTAGTTTTGCTCTTACATTCATTTCCGGAGTTCCGTTTCAGACCCAGAATCAGAAAATACTCGCCAAACCGCATATGGTATAAATTATGACAGTTTATATGTAGGACCTAATTTTCCAGAGGGAGTGTTTTAACGCTGAAGTCACAAATGATGAACTTGTGCTGGCATATTCTTGTTCTGTTTCTTCACAGAAATCTTGCATCTCTTCGTCGGGATGACTTTATGTCGGCGCATATGGTTGGATCATTCGGAGCTCATATCCCATTGAAGACCTGTGAACCTGAAGGACTGTCTACTTTAATCCTTCATGGATAACATATCCAGCTTTTTGATTCTCCCACTTGCCAATCCTGTGCAGAATAAAACGTGTCCACTGTTAAGCTCGAGCAGCGTCTCATCCTAAGTTCGCTGAACCTGGAGTGCCCCGCTTGAGTTCACTAGGCGGCTCTTCCTCCATCTCTTAAAGTTCTGTTTTGCCTAGAGTGGCCTACTGTTGCCTTTGCCGGCGTTACTAAACCGCAAGAGCTCGGCTTTCGCGGAAAGACAGCCATGGTTTCGGCGGCAATTCCATTATGGACGCTTTGGCCATTACTCACTAGGTTAGCCAGACGGGTTGCTGGGTATTGCCCTTTACGTATGTTTCTAAATGTTTTAGAGCACGGTTGAACCTACCAGAGTGTAGAGATCCGGCCACACATCGTTTCGAGGAACCGTTATTACAATCCTCTCACGTTTGAGGTGATGGCAGTAGGACTGAGCATTTATATGAACAAGCGAATTGCAACCCTAAAGTGCGGGCATCGTAAATACTCTACACCACGTGGAAGAGTTGCTGATGGCCTGCTGTGACTAAAAGGACTGTAGGTTTACCAGCTGACGCGCAGGGGGGGG